TTCATTGCAGCATTATTCACAATAGCAAAAAGATGGAAATAACCTGAGTGCCCCTCAACAGATGAATGGATAAGTTATGGTACATACGCACAATGGAATATTACACAACGATAAAGAACAATGATGAATCTGCAAAATACCTCACAACATAGATGAATCTGAAGGGCATTGTGTGAAATGAAATAAGTCAATCACAAAAGGACAGATACTGTATGAGACCAGTATTATAAAAACTCAAGAAAAGGTTTACACACAGAAAGAAACAATCTTTGGTGGTTAGGAGGGACTGGAGTGGTGGGGAGAGGAAATCATTAACTGGATAGTGGATAAGTGTCAACTCTGATGAAGGAAAAGACAGTATACAATATAGGGAAAGTCACCACAACTTGACCAAGGCAAAGTCATAGAAGTTTCCTAGACACATTCAAACACTCTGAGGGACTGAGTTACTGGTGCTGAGGGCTGTGGGGGCCAGGTTGTGGGGGTCATCTAGGTCAATTGGCATAACATAGTTCATAAAGAAAATGTTCTACATACAACTTTGGTGAGTAACATCTGGGGTCTTAAAAGATTGCAAGCATCTGTCTAAGATACATCTACTGGTTCCACCCTCCCTGGAGCAAAGAAGAATGAAGAAGACCAAAGACACAAGGGAAATATTAGTCCAAAGGACTAATGGGCCACAAGTACCACAGCTTCCACCAGCCTGAGCCCAGAAGAACTAGATGGTGCCTGGCTACTACCACCAGTTGTTCTGACAGGGATCACAATAGAGGGTCCCGGACAGAGTGGGAGAAAAATGTAGAACAAAATTCAGATTAAAAACAAAAAGGACCAGACTTACTGGTCTGACAGAGACTAGACAAACTCCCGAGACTGTGGCCCCGAACACCCTTTTAACTCAGAACTGAAGCCACTCCCGAAGTTCACCCTTAAGTCAAAGATCAGACAGTTCTATAGACAGTTCTATAAAACAAACAATAACACATGTGAGGAATGTGTTCTTAGTTCAATCATGTATACAAGACCAAATGGGCAACACCTGCCTAAAAGCAAAAAAGAGAAGGCATGAAAGGAACGAAAAAATGGACAGATAGAAATGGGGAACACGGGGTGGGGAAGGAGAGAGTGTTGACACATCGCGGGGATTGCAACCAATGTCACAAAACAATTTGTGTAGAAATTGTTGAATGAGAAACTTATTTGCTCTGTAAACTTTCACCTAAAGCACAAAATAAAAGCAAGGCCCAGAGGTTTGGGGATGAGAAGCAAAAATGTTATGAGTGGGTGAGACCAGGGATTTTTAAACTTTAACTTGCATATGAATCATAGGAGATCTCATTATGCAGATTCTGAT